TGATGTCTAAGGCAGAGACAGAAGAAGCCATTTGAGACTGCACTCACCTTTTTGGATTGTGGGTATTATAAGGCAGGGTCAAGATCATAACAGAAATGATTAATTCCTTTTTCTCAGTTCTTATCCCTTTTGATCTTTCTGCTGAATTAGACTTCTTTCTTTTTTTTTTAAATTTGAAGGTTTTTATTGTTATCTTTTGTTTTAACATAACCTTCATTTCCCTATCCATATCCAAATCCCTCCCCCTTCACTACACAGAGAGCTGTTCTTTGTAACAAAACACAAGAGAAGAAAAAAATTTAAAAGGCAGTTCGGCAAAACCTACCAGCAAATGCATTATGCAAGTCTGATAGCATATGCAATGTTCTGCACCCATAGTCCCCTTTGCACAAACACAAAGGACATCCTCATTTAGTTTTTGTGACTCTCTGGGATGCCCTGCATCCCCCAAGGCTTTGTCTTTAACCTTTTTCTCTTTTTTCTGTCCTTTGGTAACCTCATCTGCTCTAATGGCCTCATGAATCACCTTTATGTGGATGATGCCCTAGTAAATGCCAGGCTTTTCCCTGAGTTCCAGTTCCTCATCTCCAGGTGCTTGTTGACCCCCTCCATATGGATGTCATGTTGGCATCACAAACACAACATATGCAAGACAGAAACAATTTTCTTATTCCCCAAACTCTCCCCTCCTCCGAAATTCCAAATTTATTATCAAAGCATCACTATCCTTTCAGTGACAGACTGAAATCTCACAGTCACCTTCAACTTTTTCCTCTCCTTCACCTTTCACATTCAATCAATCACCAAGTTCTGTCAATTTTACTTCTGGAATCTCTCTCAAATATCCACTTCCTTTCCACAGCCAATACTTCTCCTCTTGTAATGGCCTCCTTTTTGATGTCTCTGCTTCCAGTCTCTCCTCTCTACAATAAATCCCCCACAAAGATGCCAACACGATCTTCCTAGGGACAGGTCTGACCATGTCATTCATCTGTTCACCATCTTCAGAGGATTCCCCATGGTCTCTAAGATAAAATGCAAACAATCTACTTAGCCTGGCATTCGAGGCTTTCTACAACGACTCCAACCTACCTTTTCAAACTTTTTTCCCCCACTACTTCTCCTTGAATACTACATCCCAGCCAAGTCAGATGACTAGGTATTCTGGGGGTTGTCTTCCTGTCTCCTGCTCCTATCCCTGGAATGTGGCCTTTCTATATCCTTCAAGGCCAAGCTCACGTGCCAACTTCTTCCATAAAACTTTCCCTGATCTCTTCCCACCTTCCAAGTTCAAAATGATGCCTCCTTCCTCATATTCTGTATACTATTTGTTAGAATCTCTCCTTTGCACTGATCGTATTCTGTCTTGTTTCATAGTTATTGGCATACATGTCAGAACTCTGTATCAGACTGCAAATCCCTTAAGGGAAGGGGACTGTATGATTTTTCATCACTGTCTCTCCAACATTATACAGAGTCTTTATTTTTGTCTGGACTCGTGATTTCATCAGTTTACCAATCGGTATATACAGCAAAAAAAACTCCCAGTAACAATGCAGATCAGTGACTCTTCTTTAACTTAAAGCCTTAGAGAGTTGACAAGGGGAACTGAGAGATTAATTGACTTAACCAGGGTCATATATCCATGATATGTCAAAGGCAGATCTTGAATCCAGGTCTTTGTGACTCCGAGGCTGGCTCTCTATACATTACACCATGCTATGTCTCATACAGTGTCTTCCACTTAATAAATGCTAGTTGAATTAAATTATTATTGAACTTCATAAATGGATGCCCAATAAAGTGTTTACAAGGACTCAAGAATATGTTAGAAAATATAGTAGATGATAAAATCCGGGTCCAAAAACATCTCCAAGTTCTGGAATTACAGCTATAACTAGCAATTTTTGTGCATTCAACAAGTACCACAGACTGCTCCCCTGGGCAAGGAACATGAAAAGCACTCTCAAACCAACTTTCGAAGATAAATTCAATTGAGACAGGAGGCTGACACCAAGAAGATGGAAGAGCAAGCAATGTCCAAGGAAGAGCTGGGGGAATAGCAGCCTGAGGTCTTCCAATTTTAACTAATCATTGCTAATTAGGTGCTAATTTAAGTTGCTTCTGAAAAGGTAAAAAACGCTTTCAGTGTCTTCTAAATTTTAGCATGCTGATGCAAAATACCAGTTGCCCCACCCTAGTTATAGTTCTGATTGTAATGGAAGTATGAAACTAACAAGGTAAAATTTAATAGGGATAAATGTAAAGTACTATTACTTCTGTTTTTTTTTTTAAACACAATAATAATGCAATTAGAAGCGACAGTGGGAAGAACCCAACTATAAATCAGGTATATGCAAAAGGCAAGCATGATACAATGGTATAACATTAGAAGTCATTGGATCATAGCATTTACAGATGAAAGGTGCATCAGAAACCATCTATTCCAATCCCTTCCCTTGACAAATGAGGAAGTGAGGATCAGAGAGATTAACCACAACCTTAGACTCTATTATTGGGTCCCCCAGGTGGGCTCTCTCCTTATCTTGCCTCCAACCAGGCCTCCACATTACTTCCTCAACATCGTACCCTATGCTCCAGGTATCATATCATATCATAATCTTCTCAGGAATGAAACTCCGAACTCTCTCCCATATTCCCCAGCTCTGATAGGTAGGCTTTCAAGTATGTTCTCTCCCTACCCCACCTTGCATCTCCCATTTATGTATTGTCTTTCCCCATTAGAATTTGAGCTCCCTGAAACTGGGGACTGCCTTTCTCATTTATGTAACCCCTCTAATTAGCTAATGCAGGACATCTAATGAAGAGACACAAAGTAGGATGATGGAGTATTGAATGTCAGGAACAGCAAGAAAGTCAGAGACTATGGATCTCAGAGTATTTGGGGGGAGTAAAGGGTAAAAGAGCAGGTATGTGGCTCAGTGGATAGAGCATGGGGCCTGGAGTCAGGAAGACTCATCTTCCTGAGTTCAAATCTGGCCTCAGACACTTACTAGCTGTGTGACCCTGGGCAAGTCACTTCACTCTCTTTGCCTCAGTTCCTCATGTGCAAAATGAGCTGGAGAAGGAAATGGCAAATCACTCTAGTATCTTTGCCAAGAAAACCCCAAATGGCATCATGAAGAGTCAGATATGACTGAACAGCAAACATATAGGCCATAAGTAGCAGAGCTATAATTTGAACCCAAGTCTTCAGACTCCAAATACAGTACATTTTCTACTGTATCACTCTGACTTCCATACAGTCAGGAGACCTGAGTTTGAATCCTTATTTTGCTCTTTTGTCTAGGACTTTAGATATGCCTCTGAACCTCTCCAGGCCTAGGTCTTTCCATCTATAAATTGAAGGTGCTGGACTGAAGGATCTCTAAGGTCCCAGCTTATCATTCAGGGAACCTTTTCACTGAACTGTGTGGCAGCTCAATATAAGCCAGAACTGTCATGTGGAAGCCAAAAATGTTAAATCTATCTTAGGCTACATAAATAGAAACATAATGTCCAAAGCAAGAGAAATTATAGTCCCTCTGTGTTTTGTACTGGTCAGTACACATCTGGAATATTGTTCTCAGTTTTCATTTTAGAAGGGATATTGACACTCTGGGTTGCATCCAGAGGAGAGTAACTAAATGATGAGAACACTAGAAATTTTGCCATATGAAGTAACTACAGATGTTTATTAAGCCTGGAAAAGAGAAGATTTAAAGGGAAGGATGGGGTAGAAGAATGGTTGTTTTCAAATATTTGAAATGTCATCATGAGGAAGAAGAGGGATTAAGCTCAATTTACTTAGTGCCAGAGGACAAGATTAGGTAATGGGTGGAGAGTAGAGAGAGTGTAGTCTCAACTTAAGGAAAAGCTTAGTAAGAATAGGAGCTATCCAAAAATGGAATGGTATTGCCTCAGAAAGAGTGAACTCTCTATCCTTAGAAGTTTCAAGGAAGGTCTCTAGATAATCACCTTTCAGGGATATTGTGGAGAAGATTCCTGTTCAGTTAAGGGTTTGAGTAGATCAAAGGACCATAGATTTGAGAGATCCTCTAATCCAGTTCCTTCATTTTACAAGTAAAGAGACTGAGGCTCAAAGAGGTTAAGTGATAGCTAAGTCACATAGGTAATAAGTGAAAGTTGGGACTTGAACCCAGATCCCCTAACTACAAATCCGTCACTCTTTTCATGACCACACACTGGGCCTCTGAGGTCTTTTCCAACTGTGGGAGTTGTTCATGAGTCTCCAAATCTATAAAATAGATGTCTTACTTGGGACAGATCCACAATAACAGGGCAGCAGATTTGACCAACAGCATGGAGTCTGTGCTGTCTGACAGACTTTAACAAAGCAGAAGCTGATTGGTAATCCTGTTCCACTCATCAGAAACACTTCTGAGAACACATGCAGGGAACATAAACAAGGATGTGTGCCTAGTAGAGTACATGCAACAGTGAAGATATGGAAGGGAAGACACTAAAGGTTGCTGAGAATTGCTTCTGGATTGGAAAGCAAGGGAGACTAAGAGGGCTAGCCCTAACTTTTCCTCCTCAATCCTCTTCCCCCCAGCACAAATGATCCTTAATTTCCCTGCCTAACACCTTTCCTTTGCAAAGCTCCTTTCGGATATATAGATAATGATATTACTAATAATTGCTAGCATTTATGTATCACTTTTTAAGTTTTGCAAAATGCTTTATAAATAATCTCATTTTATCTTTACAACAATCCCCAAAGATGTTCCCATTTTACAGAAGAAGAGGAAACGGAGGCAAACAGAGGTTAAGTGACTTGCCCAGAGCCACAAAGCTAGTGAGTGTCTGAGGCTGGATTTGATCTCAGATGCTCAAATATTCTTGATGCCAGCACTCTTTCTGATGTGATACCTAGCTGCCTGAATTGAGCAACAATCCTGTGAGTAGGACAGCACAGGAAACAGTGACCCCATTTTACAGATGGGCAGACTGAGGTTCAAAGAGAATTAGTGACTTACCCAAGTTCACATGGCAATTCAGTGGTAGAGCTGGGATTGGAACCCAGGTCTTCTGAATCCTAGTCTGTTGCTCTTTGGGCTACATCATGCAGGCCTCAACTCAGAAGGGCAGTCTACAATGAAAAAAAAATCCAACTAACTATACTATTATCTAACTCATTTCTGTCTTTTCATACACAAGAATAGCATAGGATATAACTTTTTCAAATGTTTTTCCAAAGTCAGTTAAGCTATATCTATAGTATTCTCTTATAGGTGTTTTTGACAGCACTCTTGCAAAAAAAAAAAAAAAAAAGAAAGAATTGAGACTTTTCTGGCATTATATGTTCTAAATGAAGCTATGCTGGCTGGTTGTGATCACAACCATTTTCTAACTGTTCAGTGACCATCATATATGTGTTATAGAAGTAAACTAGAAATAGGTCTGGTCCATATTTTCCACATACTATTATCCTCCCTTTTATGAAAATGGGGAAAATATTTGTTTTTCAGTCCTGCCTCCAACTCTTCTCTCATCCTCCATGTTCTTTCAAAGATCACTAATTAGATTCAGTCATTACATACACAATTTCTTTTGCTACTTTGTGATGTAATTCATCTAAGCTTGAAGATCTGAACTCATAAACAATATATAGGCACCATCTTAATATTGTCCTCTTTCCCTAAGGTTCCAACTCCCTGTGAACCATTTTTGTTCTGACTTTGTTTCTCAAATCTCTCATGGATTTGTATTGTGCATCTTTCACATGCATTTATCACGTGGTGGTCTATAATGGCCTGTGTTTGTGTCTTATCCCCCTGCTAGACTGTAAGCTCCATGAAGTCAGGGGGTGTGTCAGTTAAATTTTGTATCTCCCTTAGTCCCTAACACAGAACTTTGCACAAAGTATGAATGAATGAAAATCTCATTTATTTACCGCACACAGTTGGCACTTAAAAAATGTTTGTTAAATGAAATAAATAAATATTGGACTAATTATGCACAATAATTATAGTCTTTTATAGAATGTGTTGAGTTTGTTTATTGTGGTAATTGTTTTTAAAGAAAAACTCTCCCTACACATTTTGCTGCTGATATGGATAGGCTTATGTGTGTGAGTGTGTTGGTAAGTATCTCCTTGCCCCTTACTTTAGCTAGCAGGCAAGAATTGTCCTCTTTCTATCTCTAGGCTGGTCTAAGGGGAAATGTGTGGGGAAGAGTTTGGGGAAGGGAAAAATCTATGAGTATTATAAAGATTATATATCCTCTGATTTTTAGAACATATTCTAAGCTTTTATAGTTTGGTTGCTCAGAAACAGCAGTATTGTGTAGCAACTGACTTTTAATAGCTGTGTGATCATAAGGAAATCAGTTTATCTCCTCTTAGCCTCAGTTTCCTCACTGGTAAAATAAGGGTAATAATAGGTGTAGTGCAGGGATGAGGAACCTAAGGCCTTGAGGCTATATGTGGCTATTTTTTTGACTGAGTCCAAGTTTTACAATTTGTTCTGTGAAGTTTGGATTCAGTGTAAAGGCCGTACTTGGGGATGTAGAGGGTCATATGTGGCCTCAAGGCCATTGGCTCCCCACCCCTGGTATAGTGCTTAATTTGTAGGGTTGTAGTAAGGCTAAAATGAATTAAGTTTGAAAAAAGGCTTGCAAATTTCAGGTGCTACATCAATATCAGCTATTTTTATTTTCTCCCATTCATAACATTGTACCCACGGAATTAACTATCCTCTGCATCATTATTTCACCTGAACTTGTGTTTTAAGAGAATTAATTAATTTAATTAGTTGAGGGGTACACATATGGAGACACAGGCAGGGGAGCATTATTCAGCTCATTGGGATAAATATTTCTAGGCTACAAAGTAATTTGTCTGGAACAACACTGGTGGAACCATGAATTGATGTTGGAAGGAAATTTGAAATTACGTTAAGAAAGTGACTCAAATGCCCATATTCTCTGACCCAGAGATCTCACTACTAGGCATATGCACTCAAGGAGGTCAAAGATAAAAACAAAAGTTCCCATATCCACCAAGCTTTGGTAGTGGCTTTTTTTTTTTTGTGGTAGCAAAGAACTGGAAACAGGATAGAAGCCCATCCACTGGGGAATGACTAAACAAATTGTGTTCCACGAATATATTGGAATATTTCTGTGCTATAAGAACAACAAACATGGGAAGTATCCAAATTCAGGGAAGTATGAGAATATTTATTTGAACTGATGCAGAGTGAAACAAGCAGAACCAGGAAAGCAATATATATACAATGACCATAAGAAAGTAAACAGAAAGAACAAAATATGAAAACTGATTATTGTTTAATTATAATGATTGAGCTTGTCCCTGATGAGATAAGAAAATGAACCACTCTCTTTTTATTGGAGAGGGTAAGGACTAGGTATATTCATTTTATATCTGGTCAGATGCATGTTTTAGTTTTCTTCAATTTTTTTTTCTTTTTCTTTTTCTTTTTTTTTTTTTTGTTATAAGGGATGGATGGAAGGGCAGATATATCCAGAAATGAATGTGCTATAAAATCAAAATATCAATAAAAATGAAAAACTTTTTGTTTTCAAAAGCAATTGTTGGGCCAGCTAGGTGGTACAATGGATATAGAGCACTGGCTCTGGAGTCAGGAGTACTTGAGTTCAAATCCAGCCTCAGACATTTGCTAGCTGTATGACAGACCCTAGATAAACCAATTAACCCTAATTGCCTCCAAAAGGAAAAAAAAAAAGCAAATTGTCAAACTCAGAATAAGAGATAGACTTATAATCATAGACTAGAGCCCTAGAATGTGATAGCCAATCATTTATTCCAAAACCTTTCATTTTATAGATCAGGAGACTATTGCCCAGATTAAAGAAGCAATTTGCTCTAGATCAGGCTATCAGGTTTATGAGAGACCTATGGCTTGCCCCTCACTTCTCTGAGTCTTGGAAATTCCTTGCCTTTCTTAAATTAAAGAAATACAAGTCAATTCAACACATATGTATTAAGCACTTACTATGTGTAAGAGACTAGATTAGATTATGGGCTCACAAATAGATATGACACAGACCTTGCTCTTCAGGAATTTCCCACCTGTTTATTTTTCTTTTTGGTCTAGACCTATGGTTTCATACATCTTTGTAATTCCTGGTGTGGAAACTCCCTCCACCAATGCAGATGGTCTATTTGTCTATAATTTATAGGCTTAGAGAATTGTCTGGGGCACTGAGATACTAATTGCCTTTGCCAACCATTAGTACCAAAGGCAAATTAAACCTAGATCTTCCTGACTCCTGGGTTAGTTTTCTACCCACTAGGCCAGGTTACCTCTCTCTAAATTTTTGGGAGAAGGCACAAACACACAAATAACTCGGTTACAAGGGAAAGTGAAGTTAAGTGAAAAAGTTATGTCCTAACAAAGTGCCTTGAGACACGTAATGAGGATAAATCTCTTCCACCTGAGGGGAAAGGAAAGGCTTCAGGGACAAGATGGAATTTGAATTGGGCACAGAAAAAAGGGAGAGTGTTATGAATCCTGCTGGGAAGAGCTTTTAAGCGACAACTGAGTACTCTTTCCAGCCAACAACTCTGGGTATTGTGGCAGCCTGAACCTCACTCAGTAAACAAACAGCTTTGTTCAAGAGAGAGATGTCTGCACATGACGTCAGACTTTTTCAATGTACTGGTTAACTTTTCTAAGCTGTTTTTTTTCTTTCTTTTTTATTCTTTATATATATAGAGGATGAATCACTGGAAGAGGGAGGTGATAGAGTAGGAAAGATCAGGGATATAAAAAACAAAAGATATCAATAACATTTATTTTTTTAAAAATAGGAATATTAATTTTTTTTAAAAAGACTTCAAGCATATGTACTTTGAGGGAAGTTCCAGGTTCAGTATAAACATGCAAATAACTATGAATCCACACTTACAAAATGAGGCTAGAAAGACACTGATTGGCTTGATCCTATCACATTTTCTCGTAAATTAAAATCACATTAATCTCCAATTAGCACTGAGCACTGAGTACCCAATTTAAGGGTTATCCAGATCCTTAGCTTTTGTCCTTCTAACTTTCTTTACCAATCTCCTCATTAAGGAGGATTCCTTAAGATCCTAGTTTTAGAGTTGGAAGGAACCTTTAGAGGTCATTTGGTCCAAAGCCCTCATTTCACAGATGAGGATATCGAGGCTGAGAGATGTTATAACTTGGACAGAGGCACAAGGATAATTAAGTGAAAGACCTAAGAGTCAAACCCAAGGTCTCCAAGGTCAGCATTTATTCCTTCATTTGGCTGTACCAGGCTTCTTGTCCCCAAAGAGAGGATCGGCAATTCTCGATGGAGCATATTCTTGTTGAGTTATTGGAGATGTTAGGAGGGAGAGATGCCTTTGAAAGAAATAAGGGGCATAAAGAATATGGTACTCCAGCTTAGGAAGTGCTATCATACTGCGCAGGGAAGGGAATCCTGAAGTCTCAATTCCTGGAGCTGAACTTGATCTGGAGAGCTCCTCACATCCAGCTTCAGCAGGGATTATCTGAGAGCTTTCAATTTTTCCAAGCTCCCATCATCCCCCATTGCTGCCTCAGATGTGGTGGGAGTGATTTTGCTATACTTCCCCCTTTCTGAGGCTCCTTCTTTCCACATTAACAGTCAACTTGTCCAAATAATAGACCCACACACTTCCTAAGCTGGAGAAGCATTCTCTTTATGCCCCTCCCTCCCCAATAACTGAACAAGAAGATGCTCCATGGTGAGCTGCCCGTGCCCCTCTTTGGGGACAAGCAGTGTTTGTCTCCAACCTCAGGAAGGAGAAATGTCTAATTTATCAGACAATACCACAAGGTGTTGTTTACATGCACTCAGGATGTAACATAGACGCAGCAAACCGTGAACATCTTAAACCTGTTTGCGGCTCCTTCTCGGTGTGATAATTAAAGAGACAGCTTGTGTAGCACGTATGAGTCGGCAGACACAAGGAGGGAGGGAGGAAAAGAAGAAGGAGCAGGGGGTCCAAGGACCCAGTGGCATGAGGGAGGGGAAGCCTGAGCACTCAGCTCACCCATTCCCACACTCTCTGGCCCTATTACTTCTTTGCACTGCCCAGATATGATCCTTGGTGACAGATTG